GAACGTGTGCACCTGCCCAGCAGGTGAGTTAGAACTGTCCCCGGACTGGCCCAGCTCGGGCTGGGCTGGACCGGGACCCAAACCACAAACGCCCCCGAGTTGCCCTAGTACCCAAGGTAGTGCCCTGGGCCTCGGGAGTAGCTTGTGGGGGCAGAAACCTCGGATCGAGAGGCGTGGGCGGTGCTACTGGACCTGACAGAACCAGCAGCATCCTTTCCCTGCATAAGCTAACACTGCTCCCCTTCTGCCCTCACTCCCTGCAGAGACACTAAAGTAACTCAAAACGGATTCCTTCCCTATAACCAGTATAGCGGTCATGCTCTCATCGCCTGCTTCGTGCCTCCCGCTGTGCTGGAGGCTAGATCTCAAGTAATTCACATTTTATAGATGAAAAAAAAGAAGCTCCAGAGACACTGATTCGCCCTAGGTCAGTCAGGCAGCTGGTAAATGCTAAAGCGGAGTTGCAACCTATGGTCTCTTTCCATTTCTGCCAGACAGTTTTTTATTGCTACAGATAAAATTACCCAACTTTTTTTTTCTTTTTTTTTTGCTACAGATAAAATTCCAAAACTTCTTGCTTATCTACAGATTGATTTCATTTCTGGGGAGTGGCACTTGGTAAAATTAGGGGGATCTCAAAGGACAGTTCTCCATAATCGTTTCAGCAGTGGATTAGATTTCAGACCTGACCATCAGAATTAAAGTTTCTTTCTGCATAATGTGCATAATGTCTTGGGAATGGTACCTCCTTTCTGAATAACCACCTTCTTTCTAACACTGGCTCTTGCGAAAAACTTAAAACATTTGAGGAGTTATATGACTAATACAAAAGAATGCTTTAGTGCTGAAAAATTCAGGCAGTAGGAGGACTTGGTTTGTACAGATCTTAAGAGATAGTTCAGTCTTAAATATCTAGTCTAACTCTAGAATCAGTGAGCCCAACTCTTGTTTAGCTGCTGCTTCTAATCATTGTACTCTTCCTAGAGGAAGCCATTGGCTATTTCAAATGGACTAGGAGTGAAGAAAAGGGACAAGAGGAGGAGTAAATTGTTGAGAAAGGCTCCTCAATTTCAAGAGTTCAGCAACTTTAGTCATCAAGGTTTTCACATCCTTTCCAGGTGTTAACTAGAACAAGCGTTAAAACACCAACTAACATATTTGCTTGTAATCATGTAAATTAGTAGATTTCTTGCCAAAATGCTTTTGGGAATGAGATGGGTTTGTTAATTTTTGCTTGACTTCCAGAGAGCTCAAGCTAACACCACTGGCATGCTTTAAATGTAAATGTAGTTAACTGACTTCTTCAGTCTTGTCCAAATTGAGGTATGGACATGCATTTTGCCAACTTTCAGGAGGCATATTTATAAATTTTGCAGATATCAATAGGATAACAAATATTCTTTTTTCCTGAGTGATGAAAAGCTTGATGTAAACCAAAATTATGTACCAGTGGAAAAACTACTGATTTATGTTTCAAATATGTGCAGAGTAATGAAAAACATACAGGCAATAAAAGCATTTGTTTAAGCCTATTTTATATACCTAATTCTTTACTTTGTCCTATGAGATGCAAAAGTATTTAAGTCAATGTCTCATCCATGTGGTATAATCAGGCTAATTAGGAATTGAGATATATATGTGGGGGAAAACTATTATACTATTAGGTAGAATAAGTGTGATGTAGTTGACCTTGGTGAAGACTTTCCTACCCCTTCTTCTTACAAGGGCAAAGCCCAAGCAGAGTACCCTGAAATTTATTTCATGCTACTTAAGAGGGACAAATGTTTCACATGAAGCATGATCCTTTGAGATGCTTATGATTCCCACAAAAGCAAAACCACAGTGAATATACTACTATTCAGGAGGGCATCAACGAACCTGTTCTGCTGAGTCTTGGGAACATGTGGACCTTAATAATCTAGATCCAATGGAGAACTGACCACATGTACAGAAACAAGCGATGAAACAATGACATGTCGAATTTTAAATGAAGTAAGCTTTATTTGCATTTATGACATTTCTCTCTTCTAATATGAAGCAAAAAGTCTAAATAGGATAGATTAGCTCCTAAAATATGTACTAAATTTCTTTACTGCTCTGATTTTTATTACTCATCTTCAGAGTGCTAAGTAATCCATGAATAAAGGAATTCTAGCATTTTAACACATTTTTAAATATGTTTTCATTGATTTCAGAGAGAGGAAGGGAAAGGGAGAGAGAGATAGAAACATGGATGCCCAAGAGCAAATAGATCAACTGCCTCCTGCATGCCCCCTACTGGGGATCAAGCCCGCAACCTGGGCATGTACCCTGACCTTAAATCCAACCGGTGATTTCCTAGTGCATTGGACGACACTCAACCAACTGAGCCACACCAGCTGGGCCACACATATTTTTATTATAAAAATCAAACAGACAAAAATAAACAAGTCATAAATTATCACAGATCAAACACCCATGTAACTTTTATCTAGCTAGAGAAATAGAACACTACTAGCCTCCAGCAAGTTCCCCTATGCCCTCCTTCCCAATCACTTAACTCTCTGCCACCTGGCATCAATAACCACTGTCCTGAGTTTTATGAAATGCATTTTTCTTGTTTTTCTTTCGAGTTTTAATGATTGAGCATGCAGTCCTTATTTCTTTGTTTGCATTTATATAAATGGAATCTTTTTTTAATAAGTCTTTATTGTTCAGATTATTACAGTTGTTCCTCTTTTTTCTCCCCATAGCTCCCCTCCACCCAGTTCCCACCCCACCCCATGCCTTTA